ATTTTCAGTGCATTAATTTTTAAAATTCCAAACATTAAAAAAGAAAATTTATTAAAAAAGTTAAGATGCAAAAAAAGCTGACTTCAAACTGCGAACAGTTTCAAACACAACAATATTAATTTATTTCTTTAAAATTTTTTGTCAAATTTAATTTCATTTATCATATTCTAGAAAAAATTGTAACCAAAATCGGAAGACATTTTTTTTTTATTAGTTTAAAGATTTCTAAAGATAAAAATAAGAAAAGTTTGAAGATTTGTCTGGCATCACTGGTGTTGCCTCAACAAAAATTTGGTTGTGCGAAATAAATTTTTTCCCACCGTTTGGTCACTAATTCAGTAAATGAATGTTTTTTACTCCCTACTCCCAATTCTAAAAATAAAATTCATATAGAGGAGAATGGATTTTTTTTTTGCTTCTCGGAAAAAGCATTTCCCACTTGAATTGTTATTCAGAGAGTTTTTAGGGTTTGAAAAGGACGATATGCAAAAGGAAAGATCAGAATTTTATTCGTTGTCGAGAAAGAGAGAGAGAGAGAGAGAGAGAGAGAGAGAAAGGGAGAAAGCTTGCGCTCATGTGGCCAATTTTTGTAACTGTGCCCTATAAACGTACTCTCGGATATATTTCTGGTAAAAGGAAAATTTCGCCCGACAAATTCCTTATCCGTTTCCCGTGACTATGGAATGAGAAAAAGAAATCTTTAAAGCGCACTTTGATTCATAGGTGGGTCGTCTTGCGCTCTCTCTTTCTCTCTCACTCTACGAGACAGAACGTGACCTGGCATTAAGTGGCCTATAAAATATTGCGCCCATGTAAATACCCTCGTAAAATTCACCCCGCAATGTTGCACCCCCGCATACCATGCCACGTCGCCTTCCAAGATATATATCACAGAGATCTTTACGCGTTGTAAATTCAAATTCAATACGCCGACATGTTATACCCTTATTCGACAGCATTTCTAACACGATTCGAGTTCGCGCGTGTCGCGTCTCGACCGTCATTTTCAATCTTGTTCATCTTTTCCCTTCCGTTATTGTACATTTATATATCTATACGTAACATCCATTTTCATCCCATTTCGATAGGAACATTTCAGAAATGCTTTCAAGTGCTCTCTTTTAAATTTTTTTCATACGCGCAAAAGTAGGACATTTTTTTTTTGTACTTTCTTTCTTTTTTTTTAAAGAAGAAACTTCATACATTTTTCAATAACAGTTGTGCGCACATGTATATACATATATATACATGTTATTTGAAGTAATTCATGAATTTTCTAGCGCATGAAAACCATTTATGAAACACACATTTTCTTCCCTCAGAATATTACCTTTTCAAATGCATAATATTCAAATTAGTTCGTTTGAGTAAACAAGAAGTCTTTTTGGAATATTTGCACACGCAAAGGCAGTCGTTCGTGACAAGTAATGCTTTTTGTGCAATTTCATATTTTAATATTTATTTCATTTCAACAAGCAATATATACATGAGTATATATATTTGCAGCATAATGACGGAATATATTTTTTTTTTGCTAAATTAACAAATATAGTGTGTATGTTTTCAATTTTGCTTATTCGATTAAAATTCTGTTGAAAATTGTGTTTTCATTTATTATCGAAATAATCAAGGAAAATTTTAAATTAAAGAAAAAGGATAATAATGAATATAATTGGATGAGAGAGATAATAATGAGTTTGTCTTTTAATTAATAATTATTATTGGCTTTTAAATATAAATTGCCAATTAAAAAGGGTGAGATTTAATTGCCTATATGATGAAAATTTCAATAAATTTTTATATATATATGTGAATATAACAATTTAACATTTTATTTGTTTAATATTTAGGGGAAAAATGTTAATTGCAAATAATAACAGATTTTTAATTTATGAAAAAAACTGTACGTGCAAAATTGCAAAAAATTATTCTTTAGAGAAAACGATTTTGTAAAAAAATTAATTAATTAAACATATTATCTTTCTTGAAAAAAATACAATTTTTTTAGAATCGTTGATGATAAACGTTGTAAACTTTACTTAGGTTAAAAAAAATTACACCAGTACAGTGAAGATTAAATAATTTTAGACTCATAAGTTTAATAAATATTCTAAAACGTATTCGGAGTTAAAATTAATTAACGAAAGTTATTTTAAAAATAAAAACCTGAACGAAAAAACAGATGAAGAATATAATTACTTTAACCTAGCGACTAAATGAATAAAAAGTTTAGAAATCTAAATGAAGGGTTGCCGCACAAAAAATTCATTTTATTTTTCCCTGATTTGCAGACGAGAAATTTTTACTATTTACCAGATTTCTGAAAAAGAAATTCAAGGGGAGTTCAATTATAAAAAATTATAATTTTTAGAAGCAGAAACTACTTGATTTAAAACTTTTTCAGGGATATTTACTTCCATCGACTATTTTTAAAAATTTCAAAAAAATTTTCTTTTTGTAACTCAAATAATTTAAATAGAATTTTAGAAAATTTCAATTATTTGAAATATTTCAGATATTTTTTTCAAATTCAATTATTTTAAATACAATTTTTAAAAATTTTAATTATTTCCAAAATTTTAATCAATTTCTTTTTTAATTCAATTATTCTAAATAAAATTTTAGAAAATTTAAATTATTTTTAAAAAACAAAAATTTCATTCAATTTTTCTAAAAAAAAATTTTAAAAGTTTTAATTATTTCAAAAATTTTTAATCAATGTTTTTTAAAATTCAATTAGTCTATATGAAATTTAAGAAAATTTTAATCAATTTTTCATTAAATTATCATTATTTTAAATAAAATTTAAAAAAGTTTCAATCAATTTTTCTTTACATTCAATTATTTTAAATAAAATTGTAGAAAATATTGAATTATTTTTAAAAATTCAATCAATTTTTTTGAAATTCAATTATTTTAAATAGAATTTTAAAAAATTTCAATTATTTCCAAAATTTCAATCAATTTTTTATTAAATTCAATTATTTTAAATAGAATTTTAGAAAATAGTGAATTATTTCAAAAAATTGAATCATTTTTTTTTTAAATTCAATACTTTTAAATAGAATATTAGAAAATTTTGAATTATTTCCAAAATTTCAATCAATTTTTTATTAAATTCAATTATTCTAAATAAAATTTTAGAAAAGTTCAATTATTTAAAAAAAATTTTAATCAATTTTTCATTAAATTCTAATATTTTAAATTTAATTTTTTAAAAATTCCATTATTTTTTTTTAATTCAATTTTTTTAAATAAAATTTTAAAAAGTTCCAATTACAGGGTGTTTAACAAGGATTGAAAAAATAATTCCCTGACTTTTTACTAATTTTATTTCTGCTTTCATGGGACATAAATATGGTAACTGGCATATTTGACAATAATTTAATATCTAATGATAGAATAAGCAAACGATAATAAAAATCTTCTAAGGTTTTTTAAATTAAAAAAATTTTTTATTCACAAAAATTTTAATTTTTGTATAAATTTTTAGAATTTCCCTGACTTTTAATGACATTTTCTGACATTCCCTAACTTCCCTGACCGTTAAACACCCTATTAATAGTCTCCATCCTTTGGTAAAAAATTTGAAATTATCTAAAATTATCAAAAATTCGAAAAACATAATTTCTTAAAATTCAACAGTTTTTCTTCTGTTTTATGGCATTTAGCTTCATTATTTTTGTGCTCTTCAAAAACACTTTACTTATTTAATAGTCTTCACCCTTTGGTAAAAAATCTAAAATTATTAAAATTTGTCAAAAATTCGAAAAACTGAATTTCTTAAAATTGAACAGTTTTTCTTCTTTTTTATGGCATTTAGCTTCATTATTTTTGTGCTCTTCAAAAATACTTTACCCAATTTTTTATCTCAACCCTTTGGTTAAAAATCTAAAATTATTAAAAATTATCAAAAATTCAAAAATCCGAATTTCTCAAAATTCAACATTTTTGCTTCTTTTTTATGGCATTTAGCTTCATTATTTTTGTGCTTTTCAAAAACACTTTACTTATTTAATAGTCTCCATCTTTTGGTAAAAAATTTGAAATAATCTAAATTCTAAAATTATCAAAAATTCGAAAAACAGAATTTCTTAAAATTCAACAGTTTTTCTTCTGTTTTATGGCATTTAGCTTCATTATTTTTGGACTTTACAAAAACACTTTACTTATTTAATAGTCATCACCCTTTGGTAAAAAATTTGAAATTATTAAAAATTATCAAAAATTCGAAAAACCGAATTTCTTAAAATTCAACATTTTAAATTCAATTAGTCTATATGAAATTTTAGAAAATTTTAATCAATTTTTCTTTGAGTTACCATTATTTTAAATAAAATTTTAAAAAGGTTCAATCAATTTTTCTTTAAATTTAATTATTTTAAATAGAATTTAAGAAAATTTTAATGATTTCCAAAATTTCAATCAATTTTTTCTTAAATTCAATTAACAGTTTTTAAAAAAAAAATGGAAAGTCAATTGGGAAGTCTGTCATATTCAAATAGTCAGACTACTTTGACTTTGTTAGACTTTCCATTTTTTTAAAAATGGTTACTACATACTTTTTTATTATGTGTTTTTTTTTAAATAATTTTTTGTTTTTAATATGTCCCTGAAGTTTATGATTTAACTCGAAACGATGGACTTTTAGAAAATTTTTAAAAATAAAAATAAGTAACATTGTCGTCCGAATGTATGTCGTTTTTATCAATAATTTTTGAAAATAAAACTGCAACCAATGAAAACAGTTTGAAACTTCGTCTCAGACATTTCCGATGTAAAGATTCTACCTTGAACCCCTTTTGTGAAATATTCCTTCCTTTCCACCCTAAGGAAATGGTCTGATTACAATTATATCCCTGAGAAAGAGGGGTTTTTGGAATTGTGAAAGTTGATTTTCACTTCCACCCCCCCCCCCCTATTATTATACAAAACGAATAAAGTGTCGTGTTGCCAAGTGCTCTTTGATCGTGAACCGCATTTTTTCTTTTATGTTTCAGTGACGGGGTTGGAGCCAGACTTCCTTTACCCACTTGAGAATGTAACGATCCCGCAGGGTCGAGACGCTACCTTCACCTGTGTGGTGAATGATCTCGGTGGATACCGGGTGAGTCCTTCCTCCTCCGCGAGTGGAAATCATGGTGGCACCAGGGCCCGGGTAACTATCATACCATTTAACGTGACCGCCTGCTGTAATGGACCTACTTAAAGACCTATATAACTACTGCACTCTGCGCGTGCCTGCAATTCAGCACTGCATTCACTGCACTTCGCCGCTATCAAAACCACTTTTATATATATATATATATATTTATATATATATATATATATATATATATATATATATATATATATATATATATATATATATATATATACATCCATCTCTCTTTATATATATATATATATATATATATGTATATTACCTGCGATTATTCAGTTCGATCCATTTTATTCACGGATCGCAAAACCGCAACTTGACCTGAAACTCTACATGAGATTCACTTCAATTGCACTCTATCTCGAGTTAATTATAACCGACATTTCGTTTTATCTTGCAAAGCGTATACTTTTTGCTTGCCATTTTATTATATATGAAAATTCAAATTTTTCACCCCCTAATGATAACAAATTTAATTTGGAAAATTATCGAAAAATTAAGATTTTATACTTTGACCACACCAAATAAAAAAAGGAAAATAAAAAAAACATTTTAAACCTATTTCAAAGAGAGACTTGATTACCGAGAGCTTTTTTCATAATTACGAATCTACTCTACCAGCTCACAGTTTTTCTGTGGATATCATATTGAGACAAAAAACGAATCAAAAGTGTTGCGAATACAATTTGATATCCTTAAATTTTTCAAAATTGAAAAACTATCAAAAATTATTTTAAAATATTTTAAAAAAATTAATTGTAAGAATTTCTATATTATAATGTTTTGAAAATATTATACCTTAATAACTTAAGAAAAAACTGGTTCCACATGCCCTTAAATAATTTTTCTTTTTAAATATTTTCAATTTAAAAAATTAATGTATTGAAAATCATTGAATTCTAGCAAAGAATTTTATCAAGAAAATTGAGAATAATAATTGAATTCCTTCGAAGAATTGTATTATTTATAAAATTAATTGATTTCTTGACAAGAATTTTATTAAAATTTTAGAAAATCCTAATTTAATTCTTTTAAAGAATTTATTTGAATTTTTTATTTTTTATTACAGTAATTTTGCTTCTTGTTCAAAAATTTAATTATAAAGTTTCTAAGTGTAAAAAAAATTTAATTTTTATTACCAATTAGTAAAATTTCCGAAAATATTTCGCTTCTTTGAACGTTCAAAATTTTGAAAATATTTATTTGTCTCAAATAAATTATATTTGGTTTCTATTTTATAAATTTATCAAATTTTTTATTTTAATTTTACAGAGTAATTTATTAAAAAATTTATATTGAAAAAATATTGTCGTTCGTTTGAGAGATTGAAATTTTACATAAAAACTGTGCATTTACTGATTCTTTAATCTGATAATTAATTAGTGAAATATTTATATAGGAATTCTATTTCTTTTTTTAAATAGATATTTGAAATTCAGAATGAAAAAAAGTCTTTGTACACAATTAGAATTATTTCAATTTTACACCACTTGGCATAAAATTTGGAACAGCTTGTATAGAAACATACCTCCGAGGTACAAACTGATTTTTACATTTTTTCCTCTTAAAATTGTCCCTTTGACTCATTATTTCCTTCTGTAATATAGCTTTTTTTTAATTTTATTTTTTACTTCAAAATTGAATCCTCAAAAAAAGCGCGAACGAAAAGCATAAAATTCTCTTTTTCATTATAAAAATTAATTATTTTTAAATTAAGATTTCAAATAAATTTTGAAAATAATTATTATTCAAAGATAGAAACAATAATAAATAAAAACTTTTACAGTGAACCATAAATATGACAAAAAATAATTTTAAAAATAATTTTAAAATTTAACATACTTTTACTTATAAATGTATATAGTAAGAAAGTTCTACACTTTGAAGTGTGTTACATTGAAACTTAATTATTAAATATACAAAGTCACCTCTATCGACCTTAAGGACCGAGAAGTTCGTGCCCTGAATGATTATTATTTTAACCCACTTTGATTTCGAGAAGAAAGTTGAAGTTACATTTCTATAATAAATTCATCTTGTTGAATGATTCTCTTCCCCTAGAAATATCGAATTGCAAATTACAAATTGAAAAATAAAAAGAAATTATAAAATTACTTATTCAAACGCTGAAAAATACATAATCATAAATTAAAACATAAAAAAAGCATCAGTAACTTATTAACTTTGCAAGAAAAACTACAATTTCGGTTGTAAATTAACATAATAAGTAGGAAGAACCCAGTATCGTAAAAGTATATCCGCTACTATCGATTGTAAATCAACAGTAAAAAAATTAAACTACTCTGAGTAAAACTGATTTGGAAAAAAAATTCCATAACGAGAGAAATGTTTTTATATTTAATTTATAATTTAATTATTCATAAAAAAAAAATATGATTGACAAGTCAAAATTATAAAAACTTTTTTCTTCATTTTATAAGAGTTTGATTTTATATTTTTTAATTTATAATTTAATTATTCATAAAAAGAAGATTATGATTGACAGAGCAAAATTTAGAAAACTTTTTCCTTCATTTTATAAAAATTTTTAAACTTCTCGTTTTTATTTTCAATTAAAAATTGTTATCGAATTTATAAAAAATCTTTTCCCTTCATTTCTAAAAATATATGAGATTTTAATTAAAAAAAAAACTGTGGTGAAGAAATAAAAATTATGCAAATTTAATAAAATTTAATAAAATTTTTATTAATAATAAATTTTTGTATTCTAAAATAGATTTTAAATTAAAAATTGTGATTCAAAAACAGAAATTATACAAATTTTTTTTCAAAAATTAAATATTTTGTAACCAAAAAATATAACTGACAAATCAGTATAATGGAAATGTTTTATTATTATTTTATAAACAACTTTTAAAATTCTCAATTTTATTTTCAATTAAAAATTGTGATTGACTGTACTTTTTTTTTATTTCAATAAGTTAATTAATTTTTTCCGTAGGTACAATGAAAATTTAAAAATTTAAATTCATATTAAAAAAGGAAGTTTATATTCTCTCAAATTTTTATTTTTATTCATTATATTTTCATAAAAAGAAGTTTAATTTAATTTATTATTTTTTCCAATTTCGGGAAAAAATAGAAAAAAATCAATTTATCTAAAATTTTTCTTCAGTAATTTTTAAATTCCGTACAAAATGACGTTCATTGCAAAAAAAAAATGAAGTGTCACCACGTCTCACTGAATTTTTCCTCCTGAATTTTATTAATTCACTTTAAAATTATTTTGACAGTGAACTGTCATTTAAAAATCTTTTAAATAATTTTGGAGGTTAAATTTTTCATTAATTCGTATTTTTAGGAATACATCTTTACTTTAAGTCTTCGAAAATACTATATTTGTGGAAGATGAAGAATATAAAAAGAATATTTTGAAAGATTAAGTCTAGGAGACAAATAATAAAAATTGCAAATATTTTTGAAACAAGAGAATAAAAATTGTTCAAAATTTTCAAAAATACGTAAAATTAATTCAAATTTAACATCCTTTCCTTCTTAATACTTCCAGAAAATAAAAATAAAAAATACAATCCTTCCTCTATGAGGAAGAAAAAATAAAAAATTAAAAAAAGATTTAAAAAAAACTTCAACAAAGATGAAGAATAATTAAATTTAAAATTAATGAATTGTCGGTTCGTTTTCTCATCTACCAAGAGTTAAATAATTTTGCCAAAAGCGAAGACAAGGAGAAACATTTCTCTCGGTATATTGTTAGGAATCCAGTAATGTTACTTCCGACTGATACAGATTAGATACACAATTTAGCCCTTTCTGATAAATGGCACCTTTACTTTGGGTCGAGTAGCTATAAGCCAAAACAATTCCTGTCAGTTTCTACGAGTAGGATAATTAAGGGTAGTATGCACTTTGAAGAATTGCAATGCAATTCTAAAACGCCTTCTGAGCACGCCGCACGCAGTTTCTCTAATTATTATAATAATAATAATAATAACAATAATAAAAAGACAAAAGCACTTGAAAGAAATAATAATTCGAAACCAAATTGCCTTATGCATCGAAAATAGGAAAAAAAAATTCACATTTACCAGAATAGTAGCTTCAAAGGTCTTGCAAATTTAGAAATCTTTTTTTTTCTTTCAGCACGCTTTGGTTTATTGACACCAAGTGTGCAGTTTGTGCAGAAAAATAAATTTTTTTTTTTTATAAAATAAATGGAAGTACTCTCTAAATCTGAATTAGTTAAAAATATTCCATTTTTAGTTAAATTTTGGCTTACTTTTTGCTTCAGCTATTAGTAAGAAATAACTAATTTTATTGGTAAATATATAACTACAGGCCTTGAATCGACTTTTAAACGCAAAAAAAGTCTCTTTAGTCGATTCAAAGTAAAAAAAATATTGGAAAAAAGTCGTAAATTTACAATTTTTTAAATTAAATTAGTGAAAAGTCACTAACTCAAATTTGTGAAAATTTCTACTAATTTTTAGTAAAGTTTTACTATTCTATTACTTAAGTAATTTTACTAAATTTTAATTACCTAATTATATAATTACAATTATTTATTTACAATTATTAAATTGCTATTACTTATTTACTAAATTAATTAGTTATTAATATTATTTACTAAATTTTTCACTAAAGTTTTAGTAAAATTAGCAATTTTTAAGTCTGAAATAGTCAAAAGTCATCCGATAATTTAAAGTACTAGTAAAAATTTCTACTAATTCATAGTAACTTTCTACTAAAACTTTAGTAAAAAAATTTATTTTCTAAATGATACTGTAAAATTTTACTAGAAATGAGTGGGAATTTTTACTAATTTAAATTGGCAGACGACTTTTCACTAATTCAAATTTAGAGAGTATTAATTAATAAAAATTGATTGAAATTAGTAAAATTAATAGAAATTGATTAAAATATATTAATATTAATTAAAAATCATTAATATTAATTGATATTAAACAATAATATTGATAAGAATTAGTAAAAATTTTAAATAATTTGAATTAATGGAA